GAGGATCCATCATGGCCCTTGGTAAATTACTCCAATGGTTAATTACCCTCCCTGTTAAATATTTGCCCCTTATTTTAAGAGCAGCCATAGAGGGTCAGACCAAGGGTCCATCTAGCCCAGTATCCTGTTTTCTGAAAAAAAGAACAGGAGGACTTGTGGCACCTTAGAGACTAACCAATTTATTTTAGCATAAGCTTTCGTGAGCTACAGCCCACTTCATTGGATGCATGCAGTGGAAAATACAGTGGGGAGATTTATATCCACCTTGAATAGCTCACCTTAAGTGATCACTCTCCTTACAGTGTGTATGGTAACACGCATTGTTTCATGTTCTCTGTGTATATAAATCTCCCCACTGTATTTTCCACGGAATGCATCCGATGAAGTGAGCTGTAGCTCACAAAAGCTTATGCTCAAATAAACTGGTTAGTCTCTAAGGTGCCACAAGTCCTCCTTTTCTTTTTGCGAATACAGACGAACACGACTGCTACTCTGAAACCTGTTTTCTGACACTGGCCAATGCCAGGTGCCCCAGAGGGAATGAACAGGGAAATTATCAAGTGATTCATCCCGTCGCTCATTCCCAGCTTCTGACAAAGAGAGGCTAGGGGCACCCCATCTCTGCCCATCCTGGCTAATTTTCAGTCTGAATTTGTCTAGCTTCAACTTCCAGCCATTTGATCTTGTTAGATCTTTGTCTGCTAGACTGAACAGCCCTATATTATCTAGTGTTTGTAGGTACAGATAAACTGTGATCAAGCCACCACTCAACCTTCTTCATGTAAAGCTAAAAGGATTGAGCTCCATGGGTCTGTCACTGTAAGGCAGGTTTCTAATCCTTTAATCATTCTCGTAGCTCTTCTCTGACCCCGCTCCAATTTATCAACATCCTTCTTGAACGGTGGGCACTGGCACTGGACACGGATTTCCAGCAGTGGTCGCATCACTGCCAAAAACAGAGGTCAAATAACCACCCTCCTGGGATCTATTCCTACCTCTGCTGCTGGGTGACCTTCAGCAAGTCACATCCCTCCCCGTGCCTCAGTTTTCCTATTTGTAAATTGGCAGTAATGATACCAACCTGCCTTTGAGATCTACAGATGAAAAGTGCTATATAAAAGCCAGGTATTATTATTAGTCATCCTGGCTGTCTCTGTACTCTAGAACAATGCAAGACCCTGCCCAGCCCCTGGTGTAATTTAGAGCAACCCCACAGCTGCTCTAACATACACTCTGCCTCTCACAGCCACTGGGAAGCAGAGAACAGCTGCAGTGCAGCGCATGCTGGTCATGTCCTGGATCTGCTCCGTAAATCGAGGGGCATGCATGGCAAGGGCTCTCTCTGCCATCATCTACTGGTGAACTGGAGGGAGAGACAGAAAGACTCAGACCTTGTTTGCGTGTTTCAAAGGCACCGTCCCAGTGTGGACCTTCTGGTTAGGTTTTGTGTAAGCGCTGGGATCACCCAATGCTATTCTCCCTAGAGTGTGACAACGGGGGGCTAGAGACCTGGGGCTGTGGGCCCTTCGTCTGGCAGTCCCTGGAGCTGAAATCACCAGTGCTGGGTTACAGGGTGGAGCCTATTGACCCGACCTGGCGTCATGGTGAGGGGCAGCAGCGTGGTGAGGGACAGGACAGAGGTGGCAGCCAGGGGCTGTTCATGGAAGCCACCCAACAGGCCCCATGAGTGCAATGGGAGGAGTGGGGTGTTAAAAGGATATTTGTCCATCAGACATTCACACCGGCAGCTGCGGAAACTGAGGCAAAGGGGGAGTCACTGGCGGATTTATTGGTGCTGAGTTTTCCCAAGTTAGGGCATTGTCCCTTTCCCCCTTACTGAAGTGTCATTGTTTCCTGGCCAGACTCGGTGCTCGTGGCAGAGGGGAAGCGCTACCCCCAGGAGAGGTGTCTAGGTCTTGCCCCGGTTTCTGGGCTGGGGCTCGAACCAGTGTGCTTGCAACATTCAAGGGGATCCCCGAGAGATTTGAACCCGGCCCTTGCTGCTGCCAACAACACTGGGCAGAAGGAATGCATCTAGACCTGGGGTCCACCTCCCTGCTCCTGTGGGCTAAGGCAGAGGCCCCTGTGCCAGGCTGGGGGTAGGGGCACGTGTGGGGGACACACTTCCCGGCCAGCTGAGCCTGCCATGGGGAGAGGGATCAGGCCGCTCCCGTGCGATCGTCATCGGCCCTGTAACAGCATTAAACCCACTCCCGGCCCGGCCTTAAGCTCCTCGCTGCCCATCTGTCACAGCCCTGCCAGGAGCAGGCTGGCTCTCTGGGCAGAGCGAAGCGGGCTGGGGTGGTGCCGATGGCAAAGACACCTGGCCGGGACCGCAGCCCGTCTCAGGGAGCCTAGGGAGGGGCTGGGAGTGGCTCCATAGCAACGGGTGCCCTCGAAGCAGCTCCAAAAATCCTGGTTTCTCACTTTAAGGATTGGATCTCCCCTCCCCAGGCCCTGCTGGGTCCAGCAAGTCGGGGACAGGGGCTTTGAGCCGCCTCAATGCCCTTCTGCCGGCAGCCCGAGACTGACTCTGCCACATGGCGCAAATCAGGGCCACCTGCTGGCTGCTCTACCTTGTGCCAGGCTGCCAGAGGCCTGGGGGGAAGGGGAGGCTGGGAGGAGCCATCCGGGGCACAACGGGGAACGGGGGTTTGTGGCCACTTGCATGTTCTACCATGTGTTTTTCCCTCCCTAGCGGAGGCAGAGAAACCATTGAAAGAGGAGACAGAGCAGCCGTGAGCTCCCATTCCTCTCCCATTCTAGCTCCACCACTGTTTACACGGAAGCAGGAGCAGCCTTTCCCCTTGGCTGCTGCAATCTGCTAGGAGACGCGAGTAGTTCTTCTGGCTACAGCCATTCCCCAGCACCGCTTCTTTACTCCTCCGGCTCTGCCCTGCACCGAGCCTGTGGGCAGCCAGCGGGGGTGACTGGGCAGTGGCGGGAGGGGGTCTGGGTGGGGGTCACTGGGGACAGATGGAGGATTGGGGGGGCAAGGCCCAGTGTTGCAGCTTGTGCATCAGGCAGCAGCGCCCCAGGGAGCCCACGTGGCGGCATAGGGGGATGTGGAGGTGCAGGGAGAGGGGCTGGGCTGGGGGGCTGAGTGGGGCAGGAATGGGCATGTGGGAGGGGATGATGCTGAGCCGTGAGCTTTCAGAGGGAGTGGGGGAGAAGGGCGGGGTGGGATGGAGTATTTTGGGGCCCCACGGGCTATGAATGGGGGGCAATGGGAGACTGAGGGGAAGCTCTGCTGGGAGCCAGGGCTGGGGGCTCTTCGAGGGCATGGGGAGGGCCATGCTGATCAGTGATGTTCACGGCCAAGTGAATAATGACCAGGGTCCATGCAGATACGTAGCCAAACACCTGGGGCCAGAGGCAATGCGTAACTGCTGATGGACAATTTCAAGGTTCTGTGGGAGAAACTCTCCGCAAAAAAAGAAATAAAAATATAAACCCTAGTAGAAATCTGGGGTTGGGGGGCACGAGACCCTGCTTGCCCCCCATCACCTCTGCCTGGGAAATCCCCCCCCGGTTGTTAGTTTAGAGTTAGGATTGCTCACATGCTCAATGTCCCCAGGACAGTCACCAAAACCCAAGGGGCCAGATTCAGCTCTGAGCCACAGCAAAGTGCACCCGGAGTTAGCTACTGCCTTGGAGGGAATCGCGACTGATTTACACCACTGCAACTTAGAGCAGAATTGGGCCAAGGAAACCAACAGCTAAGGCTGCCTCCGCACCCAGAGACCATGCTGGCCAACCCCACTCCCAGCCACCCCCGGCTCCCTGGCACGCCCCGCACATACCCAGCCACCTCTGCAGGAAGCCAAGCAGCCAAGTGGCTGTCCCATCTAATGCATAAACCGGACAGCTGTGACAATGCTGTGTGAGGGCCACTGCAAATGCTGGGAGAGGTGCATTTGTCCCTGCAGAGCCGCCAAGTCTCCATCAGGGTCTGTCTCAGTTGGACCCGCTGAGTGGCACTCACGGGGTGACGCAGGAGAACTGAAGGCTCAGAGGAGGAACGTCTTCAGCATGCCAGACCCCAGGGTCTCTCTCTTCCTCCAGAGTGAGCCACACGGCTTCACTGCCTCCTTAGATGGGACCTCTGGGCCTTCAGCACCCCTGCTTCACCCCGGGAACTCCTCTCTACGTGGCCCATTGAGGCTGTGTCTGCTCCTCAGGGACTGTTCGTTACCTGGCACGCAGCCCAGGCCGTGCTTTGGGTAGTCAGACAACTGAAGGCTAAAGCCTTGTCTGGGCTGGTGACCCAGACCCAGCCAAGCTGCAGGGAAGCTTCGTCTCTCCATCCCTCTGACCTCCGACCTTGGCCACATGCGAGCCCTGACTCCTTCCAGCAGCCAGTGCTTCTCCCCCACCTCCCACCTTCCCAGTCCTGGGGACACACTGCTCAGCTTCCCACAGAGAGGTGGAGCAATCTGTGGCCATTGGTTGCTTGGTGATTGGATCTGCCCTCGCCTTCATGGATTCTCCATTGCTCTGGGGTTGGCCTCAGCTGGCCTTTTCCAGTGACCCACGTAGTCCCAGACAGCCAAGCTACATTCACACCTGTCTTAGCCTGCCCTGAAATCAAGCGGTCCTTTCCCATCCCACTGGGTAACAATGCAGCATGTAGGGGAAACTGAGGCACACATAGCCCTCATAAAAATATTACCCCAAATTCCCACTTCTCCACAGCTTTAATCTAGCAGCTGAGACTGCTCATTTGAGTGTGAGCCACACGAATAACATTGAGCGCTTACATAGCACTTTACACCCATAGAGCTCAAAGCGCTCTACAAAGGAGGTCAGCATCACTATCCCCATTTTGCTGATGGGGAAACTGAGGCACAGAGTGGTGAAGTGACTTGCCTGAGCTCACCCAGCAGGCCAGGGGCTGAGTCAAGGATAGAACCCAGGTCTCCTGAGTCCCAGTCTAGAGCTCCTTTGGGATAGAAGGCCCTGATAAACATAAGGCAAGTAAGATCCTATTCTTATTGCAGGGCGCTAAAGCTGAGTGAACAGCTGGAGCTGATGGCGATTTCTTATCGTCTGAGCACAGTGGTGTAACGTTACTGGAAGTCACAAGGTAATGATAGAACAGACACTGTTACTTCTCTCAATGTATAGGCAGCTAGATCTTGGAGAGATGCTTATTGTCAGATGTGGTGCAGTTCGGATGAGAAGCTAAGCATTATCACCAGCAGCCAGCTTGGCCCAGATTCTCAAAAGTATGTAGATGGCAGATGCTAGGAGTAAGTCACCTAAATATCTTCTGCCTTGGTCTCTCTCTCTCAGACTGAAATAATTTCATAGATGTATCTTCTCCAATGAAACAAGGAAATTAACCATCCCAAATGTCAGAACCAGGTCTGATATTTTGAACAGACACTGCCTGCTAAGTCATTATGCAAGATGGACATCGTACCAAAAGGACTGAAGGTAAAAAATCCATTACAATCTACATACCACACAGACTATGCTGACAGCTTGTGCCACACGCTCTCAAAGAAACTGCGGAATCACCTGATCAACATCCTCTACAGCAAACAGGGAAAGATTAAGAATGAGCTCTCAAAAATGGATACTCTCATAAAAAACCAACCTTCCACACAAACTTCCTCGTGGCTGGACTTTACTAAAACTAGACAAGCCATTTACAACACACACTTTGCTTCTCTACAAAAGAAAAAGGACACTAAACTTTCTAAACTACTACATGCCACAAGGGGCCACAGCAATGGTTCCCTCAACCCACCCAGCAATATTGTTAACCTATCCAACTATACTCTCAGCCCAGCCGAAGCAGCTGTCCTATCTCAGGGCCGCTCCTTCTGCCCCTCCACCCCCACGAACATGGTACAGTTCTGTGGTGACCTAGAATCCTATTTTCGACGTCTCCGACTCAAGAAATATTTCCAACATACCTCTGAACAACATACTAATCCACAGAGACCTCCCTACCAACACTACAGAAAGAGGGATTCTAGGTGGACTCCTCCTGAAGGTCGAAACAGCAGACTGGACTTCTACATAGAGTGCTTCCGCCGATGTGCACGGGCTGAAATTGTGGAAAAGCAGCATCACTTGCCCCATAACCTCAGCCATGCGGAACGCAATGCCATCCACAGCCTCAGAAACAACTCTGACATCATAATCAAAAAGGCTGACAAAGGAGGTGCTGTCGTCATCATGAATAGGTCGGAATATGAACAAGAGGCTGCTCGGCAGCTCTCCAACACCACTTTCTACAAGCCATTACCCTCTGATCCCACTGAGAGTTACCAAAAGAAACTACAGCATTTGCTCAAGAAACTCCCTGAAAAAGAACAAGATCAAATCCGCACAGACACACCCCTGGAACCCCGACCTGAGATATTCTATCTACTACCCAAGATCCATAAACCTGGAAATCCTGGGCACCCCATCATCTCAGGCATTGGCACCCTGACAGCAGGATTGTCTGGCTTTGTAGACTCCCTCCTCAGGCCCTACGCTACCAGCACTCCCAGCTACCTTCGAGACACCACTGACTTCCTGAGGAAACTACAATCCATCGGCGATCTTCCTGATAACACCATCCTGGCCACTATGGATGTAGAAGCCCTCTACACCAACATTCCACACAAAGATGGACTACAAGCCGTCAGGAACACTATCCCCGATAATGTCACGGCTAATCTGGTGGCTGAACTTTGTGACTTTGTCCTTACCCATAACTATTTCACATTTGGGGACAATGTATACCTTCAGATCAGCGGCACTGCTATGGGTACCCGCATGGCCCCACAGTATGCCAACATTTTTATGACTGATTTAGAACAACGCTTCCTCAGCTCTCGTCCCCTAATGCCCCTAGTCTACTTGCGCTACATTGATGACATCTTCATCATCTGGACCCATGGAAAAGAAGCCCTTGAGGAATTCCACCAGGATTTCAACAATTTCCATCCCACCCTCAACCTCAGCCTGGTCCAGTCCACACAAGAGATCCACTTCCTGGACACTACAGTGCTAATAAACGATGGTCACATAAACACCACCCTATACCGGAAACCTACTGACCGCTATTCCTACCTACATGCCTCCAGCTTTCACCCTGACCACACCACACCATCCATCATCTACAGCCAAGCTCTGCGATACAACCGCATTTGCTCCAACCCCTCAGACAGAGACAAACACCTACAAGATCTCTGTCAAGCTTTCTTACAACTACAATACCCACCTGCGGAAGTGAAGAAACAGATTGATAAAGCCAGAAGAGTTCCCAGAAGTCACCTACTACAGGACAGGCCTAACAAAGAAAATAACAGAACGCCACTAGCCGTCACCTTCAGTCCCCAACTAAAACCCCTCCAACGCATTATTAAGGATCTACAACCTATCCTGAAGGATGACCCAACACTCTCACAAATCCTGGGAGACAGGCCAGTCCTTGCCTACAGACAGCCCCCCAACCTGAAGCAAATACTCACCAACAATCACATACCACACAACAGAACCACTAACCCAGGAACCTATCCTTGCAACAAAGCCCGTTGCCAATTGTGCCCACATATCTATTCAGGGGACACCATCATAGGGCCTAATAACATCAGCCACACTATCAGAGGCTCATTCACCTGCACATCTACCAATGTGATATATGTCATCATGGGCCAGCAATGCCCCTCTGCCATGTACATTGGTCAAACTGGACAGTCTCTACGTAAAAGAATAAATGGACACAAATCAGACGTCAAGAATTATAACAATCATAAACCAGTCGGAGAACACTTCAATCTCTCTGGTCACGCAATTACAGACATGAAAGTTGCAATTCTTCAACAAAAATCTTCAAATCCAGACTCCAGCGAGAAACTGTTGAATTGGAATTCATTTGCAAATTGGATACAATTAACTTAGGCTTGAATAGAGACTGGGAGTGGCTAAGTCATTATGCAAGGTAACCTATTTCCCCTTGTTTTTTCCTAAACCCCCCCCCCCCCAGATGTTCTTGTTAAACCCTGGATTTGTGCTGGAAATGGCCCACTTTGATTATCATACACATTGTAAGGAGAGTGGTCACTTTAGATAAGCTATTACCAGCAGGAGAGTGGGTTTGTGGGGGGGGGGGGGGGGGTGAGAAAACCTGGATTTGCGCTGGAAATGGCTCAACTTGGTTATCATACACATTATAAGGAGAGTGATCACTTTAGATAAGCTATTACCAGCAGGAGAGTGGGGTGGGGGGAGGTATTTTTTCATGCTTTGTGTGTACACTTTCTTCTACACTTTCCACGGTATGCATCCGATGAAGTGAGCTGTAGCTCACGAAAACTTATGCTCAAATAAATTGGTTAGTCTCTAAGGTGCCACAAGTCCGCCTTTTCTTTTTGCATTTCATTTAGTTCTCTCTCCATCTAGGTCCTCAGCGTATTGAGATCGACAGGTTTCTTCAGAAGCTTCCTCCAACAGAGGGCCCATGGTCAGGGTGGGTCTGGACGCAGGTGTTTAGGATCTTGCTCCGCACGGCACAAGGCAGCGCGACCCCACAGGCAGAGTTATGGTGCTGGGCAGGCCGCCCTCAGGCTCTGCTGTGTTCTGCGGTGTTGTCATCCACGTAATGAATGGCCAGTACTGGGCCCCCGGGAAGTGTCGGCCCAGTGAGCTGAGCAAGTCCAGCCCTGTGTGTGCGGGGCAAGGGGTCTCTTCACATGTGAAAGAAAAGCCTGAGGGGGCTTTGACACCCTCCAGCCAGGCTTCTGCATGACGACACATCTCAGCTCTGACCCGCCGCCCCCCTGCGATCCCAGTGCTGGGCTTCTCCTGCCCCCTACAGCTCTGCCGATGCCCCCCAATCCTGACCCGCAGCCCCCTGCAATCCCAGTGCTGGGCTTCCCTCGCCCCCTACAGCTCTGCCAACCACCCCCAATCCCGACCCACAGCCCCCTGCTATCCCAGTCCTGGGCTTCCCTTGCCCCCTACAGCTCTGCCAATGCTCCCCGATCCCGACCCACAGCCCCCTGCTATCCCCATGCTGGGCTTCCCCCGCCCCCTACAGCTCTGCCAACGCCCCCCAATCCCGACCCACAGCCCCCTGCTATCCCAGTCCTGGGCTTCCCTCGCCCCCTACAGCTCTGCCGATGCCCCTCGATCCCGACCCACAGCCCCCTGCTATCCCAGTCCTGGGCTTCCCCCGCCCCCTACAGCTCTGCCGATGTCTCCCCCTTCCTCCCTGGTGGCACCGGCTGAGGCCTTAGGACTTGCAGAAGCCCTCAGCGCGATCAGGGGACCCAGCTGTGGGCGACAGTAGCAGTAAGGTGTGGGATGGGTCGATGGCAGCTGATCTGGATTCCGTGTTGCAGGGCTGGAGGCTCCCTGCTCCTGTTGCTATCTGAGAGGAGGCTGCAGTCCAGGGCAGAGCAAGGGGGAAACGGCGACCCCTCCGGCAGCCCTCGAAGGGAACGGAGAGAGGAAATCCAGTATGTGCCTCCCCGCTGGACACCAGCATGGGGCTGCTCCGGTCTGAGCCTGACCCTGCCACTGAGTCACTGTGTGGCTGCAACCATCTTGGGCCTCAGTTTACCCAGCTGTAAAACCTATCTCCCAGGGCACCACGATAGCTCCCTGCTCGGTCCTCGCTCAGTCAAAATGCCCAGCAGTGTCCATGGGCCCCTGGTCAGAGAGAGGAGCACTGAGCTGGTGAGTCAGCATTTTGGGTTAAGGGTGAGCAAGGAGCAGGGACGTTGACTCAGCAAAATCTCCTGCCGGCGTTTTCGCCAGGTGCTGTCCCCTGATCTCCGGCTGATGCTCCAAACGGGTGGGAGAGAAGAGTCGGGGGCTTGTTCAGCCACTGAGGTGTTCATGCAGGCTCAGGGTTGGAGGGGTTCACTCAGGCGGAAGGACACAAGCGAGGGATCTGCTCAGAAAGCATGCCCTCCCATCCCCTACATCCACCCCCAATCCCAGCCACCAGCTCCCCTCCCAGTCCCTAGTCTGCCTGCCCCACTCCCATGGAACAAAGTGCATTTGATCTGCCATGATTGCAAACATTGCTCCAACCCAATGTTTTGCACAGCAACTCTTAGAGCTTTGCCGAGTCTCCCTGTCCCGTGATTCCTGCTCCGGCCGCCGGCCTGTCCCAGCCCAGATGTGCGTGACTGATGCGTGGGAGCCCTCTGAACTGCAGTGCCAGCCAGCACAGTGCTCCCAGTCCAGATCCAGGTATGGCTGCAGCTTGAAAGCCACAAATGTATTTGCACTCAAGCAAGGCCATTTATTCCCCCCCAAATGTTCCTCTTCCTCCCTCTCCGTTGCATTGTTTCCTCAAGCTCTTTAGCCCAGGCGAGCTGTGCCAGCATAAGGTAGTTTCAGCCCATGAACCACAACTCGCACTGGACATGAATAGGCAATGCCATGCTCATTACCGAGGGCCACGCTGATTAGCAACGAGCAAGACTCATTAACGATGCTTATCCCCATCCGTTGCATCCCAACAGATGCCAAAGTGCTTTTCGCCACAAACAGGCAGAAATCCGTTTGCCCGCTCCTGGAAATGCAGCCACCTCTGGGGAGAAGCGCGGCAGCTGTTTAACTGCACGCAGGAACAGTTCAGGAATGGAAGTGAAGAAGACTCCTGTGTCCGGCTGAAACTGCAGGTGCAGCGTAGGGTGGCAGAATGCAACTGGTCACCGTGGAATTAAGCCGAGACACTGGGGTTAACGCACCACTGCTCTGAGGAAATGGGCTGTGGGTTTTTTAATGAGCATGAGTGGTGAGGACCTTCGCCGTACCCCTCTCGAGTGGGGAGCAGGTGTTTAGAGTAACAGTCCCTGAGGCACCAGGACGTGTGCAGAAATGCGAGAAGAGTGTACAGCGGGAATGCCCAGGTTAGTTGGTGCCATTTTTAACACACCCACACGGACTGCAGTTGTGAGCTGCTTGTGCGATTTCTAGCCCAGAGAGTGCCAAGGCGGGGGCATGGGTAGGGGGGCGACTTGTAGCTGATAGAGGTAGCTTTGCCTTTTATTGTTCTTAGCAGTAACACAAGGAACCTACAGTCCTGTATTCTGCAAGTTGGCAGAAGTCAAGTAGCCCATGACTCTTGGAATATATCAGATGGCCTCCTAGTTACCCTTGATTTTGCTCAAGAGAGTGAGTTGGTAATCCATCTCATGTCATCCAAATCGCACTCCGAACACAGGGCTCTAAGGCACATGGCTCCAGCTGTTCAAAGGGAATTAGGTGTCTATATATTGTCAAGGATCTGAGCCCTGGTGCTTTCAAAGGGACCGCGGATTTTGGACCTCTCAGTGCCCATCTTAAGATTTCTGAGCATCCGTAACCCCCACTAACTTGGTTTGAAATCGTTGGCTCTGGGCACCTGGGAAAAATCAAACCCCAAGTGCCTCAGGTTGGGCTCCCAAAATTAGCAGCCCCGTTTATTGTTATGTGTAGCCCAGTCGCACCAACCAGTCACAGGCCCCCATTGTTCTGGGCGCTGCACAGACGCATCGTGTGAGACACTCGCTGTCCTGGGAAAGTCACGGTCTACACAGACAATGGGTAGAAGGGGAAACGGGCACAGAGCAGGGAGGTGACTGGCCAAGGTCGCATAAGAGATCGTGGCAGAGGCAGGAACAGAACCCGGTGCTACTGAGCACCAGGCCAGGGCCCCAGCCACTGGGCAACATGGACTCTTTGATGCACGCCCCTTTTCCAAGCATTTGCCGAGCAGCAATTGCAAGGCAGCCATCACCTCACGGGACTGGCAGAAGGACAGGGCAGTGCAGGAGTGGCGCTCCGTGCCCCCAGGGACAGCGCAGAGGGGGGAGCTCTGATGATGCCCAGGGTACCGAAAAGAGACCAGAGCATCCAGAGGGGGCTGTGGGCAACAGTTTCGCTTCTTAGGCCTCAGGGAGCTTTCTGCCATCTGGGGAAAGTTCATTTGAGCACAGCTTCCTCTAGGGCTGGTCCGAACCTGTGGAACGAACTTCCCCGGGAACTAAAAACAGTCCTGACTTCCCCACCTTCCGCTCTGAGCCCCAGACGTCGTCAATCACACACAGAATGGAGCAGCCAGAAAATCAAGACAAAATGCAAGAGCTCCAAAGAACCCCCTATGGCGTTATATGGTTAAAATATGACCATGCGGATCATGGTTGCTACCACTGTTATACCCTCGCAACAAATCTTGTTCAAAGTGTGTCAAGTAAGGTGCCAATGGGAAAGTTATGATTTGCTGAATATGATTATCCTATTGGTATGCATGCATCATTTTTATATCTAAAGTTATGGATATTGGCTCTATACCTGTATTTCAGATGTGTTTGCTTCTGGCTAACACCCATGAGGTATTTAGCCAGCACAGTGTGAAAGGACTATTCAAGTTGCATGGCCCATCAAAGAACGCTTCACTCGCACTGGGCCACGGAAGACGCCTATCCCACGCCCGATGAGCTGTGGACATTCTAGCTAGAATATGGCTATGACTCAGCGAAGCATGCAAGGACATGTGACTAGTCCATGTGACCCCAAACTCCATCTTGTTACCTGTAATTTTCCACAAGCTAGAACAATGGGTTTCCCTCTACAGGGCAGAAGCTATAAAAGGCCCTGGAAACACCTCCATTTTGCCTCTTTCCTGCTCTGATATCTGGATTATGGATTTATACTAATGGGAGCATTCTAACCAAGGGACTGAGGACCTTCCAAATCATTTGGAAGCAACCAGAGACTGAACAAGCCAGAGTTTATTTCATCACTGCTTCAAGCCTGATCCAAGAACTTTGCAATTATTGTGTGTATTTGATTCCTTTAACCAATTTAAACTCTCACCTTTCTTTCTTTTTATAAATAAATCTCTAGTTATTAGATACTAAAGGATTGGCAACAGTGTGATTATTGGGTAAGATCTGAGTTATATATTGACCTGGCTTTGCGGCTGGTCCTTTGGGATCAGAAGAACCCTTTGGTTGATTAAATTGGTTTTAAATAACCACTCCTCATTAAGTGTAGTGTCTGGGTGTTGAATCCAGGACCGGAATACCTAAGCAGGGTGCATTTCTGATTTCTTGTTAGCCAGTGTGGTGAGACAGAAGTTGACGTTTCTTGCTGGTTGGGTATATCT